TGCACGAATGAAGTTTTCGACGTGGAAGATGAAGAAATAACAGACTGTTTGTTGTAAATGTAACTACGACTACGAACCATATAGAGGAAATACAATTTTCCTCTATGCTACGAATTTAAATTTATTCATAAAAATGGAAATATTACTAAAATCAGGTTTAATTGAAAATTTTTTTTCACCTAAAAGCTGTAACTTTTTTATTTGTAGACCTACAAGTATTATTTTGGTGCCAAAATATGTAGTAAACAAATAAATAAATTAGTTATTGTCTAAAAATTAAAAAAAATAATGTTAGAAATTGTTTAATGGGATCGAATTACATCACTCGCTTTCGGCTCGTGTTGCAAGCTTCATCCTCGTGTTATAATAGTCCGCGTTATCTGCCTATTTAATAATACACTAGTTAGTTTTTCTCATGATTTTGGAAGTTTATCTAATTATTTGCCAATTTACACCAAATTCAACTTTTGTTTGTCGTTTTATACACCTTAAGGCAATTAATGCTGCAAAGTTCAGCCTTCCGTCATTCCTTTGTTTATCCTTTCTCAAGAAACTTAGTGCTTTAATAAATGAATATAGGAGTTTCGATTCAAATACTGCAGCTTTACGGAAAAGAAAATATCCCTATAATTATGTTAAAAAGAGCATATTAATACAAGGTCTTCTAACATAACATGACAGAAGTGTGTTTCGAATACTACTATCAATTCCCCCCGGTAACATAAGATTACAGTAGCAACACGATAGATGTTCCCTCGTTCATCGCGTCTCCTTGTCGCTTCTGGCATTCTATTCGGGGTTTCATTCATTTCATTCTCAGCTCATTCCAAAGCAGCTGATGTATCGCACACTAATCTTATTCCTGCAATAACAGTTTCCTTCCTGTCCATTGAAACGCCAAACTGCTTTAGGAATACAATCTACAAATAATCACGAAAATCTACCTAAGTATATTCCATCGAATCGCACAAATCACAAATAAATTATCTAACTCGACTGACTGATTTGATCTTTCGTGTCACGGGAAGTCAAATCAAATGCAGGAAAGTACAACACTGTTAAAAAACACATTAATATCTGTAACTGGTTATCACAACAATTTTACTCGGTGCGTTTGATCAAGTACTTATCTTCCAAAGTTACCTAGAACTTCTCGCAAAGGCAACATTTTTCATAAATGACATTATTTATTTTAAATAGATACAAAGGCTAGTGTACCGGAGTCCATAAAATAGTTAAAATTAACGGGTTAGTGTAGTTAGCAGGGATACGTTTGTGCACTGTGCAGGTTTGCACATAAAAAGTTTTCCAGCTAAACATCCCGTTTGGCTATATTCTCAACTTCTAGATGTCCTGCCAACATCTTAATCGATCAAAAGGCTTCCTTATGCACGCTGATTATATTTACGAGATCATGCTGTTATGTGCTTAACAATTTTTCTAAAAACATTCGTGTAGGTATACTCCATTCAATAGTTATTGTCCCAGTAGTAGGCCAAGTTAGGGTGATGAAATTCACTGTGCATATGTGCTGTCACTCATTATAGGTTATCTCCATTTTATACAAATAATAATTTGCTGTCAATGTGCAAAACCTAGTTCCCAGATTTAGGTTCGGATTTTGTAGTAATTTTGTTATAGGAAACAACTTGCTCAATACGTTTCATACTTTATTGAGTAGGCAAATGGCTCTATGAACATTATTAATTTCAAAGGGCTGTTATATATGAACTTATTTACAATTTAGTATATGCTTAGTAATAGCAGGTTCCTGGTGGTGGTCTCTATGAACTAAACACTTCCACATTTAAATGCCGATATGCTGGATAACCACTGCTCGATAAGTCAGTACCATCATACCCGAGATGCCTTCAACGACCGCATTGATACCTAACTACGCTTGAGTGTGGTTCTTGCTTCCACGGTGCCATTGGAATGTTCTTCCTTGGGTTTTTTTCCGTCTGTGCTGTTTGATGATTAGTACATTTCTGTTAATCTTATTTCCGGCGGGTAGCTTACTATTCTTTGGGAAACCTTTTAGTCTTAGAGCAGCTGCCTGATGGTGTCTTGCAGCTCTCGCATTTCTTCTTCTGTTTGTTAACTGGTGTTTCCCCTGCTGAGTTCGTGGTGAGGATTGTGTTTCCTTTCCATGACCCAGCTTGTTATGTGGTGACCTTCTTTCTAGATGAAATCCTTGAATCTTTCCTTAAAGTCTGGAACTTTGAAGAGTTTGGTGTTCCCATTCATTTTCCATGTCATAAACAAATATTTTGATGCCAAAAACCCTCTATTATATTATATTATATATATATTATCTGAATCATTATCAATACCTGATTCTGACTCGGATTCCTCCAATGAAATAATGAAAGGTGGAATGCTTTCAAACGAAATATTTCCCATATATTTCATTCAGTCTTCCGAACTTAGTTTCTCACAATGATTACAAAAATTTTGCCACATGTCCCCCACATGTCAGAAGTACAATACAATTTGAAAGAGCTTCAAGCCATAAATTTTTAACCTTATCCTTGGATGAAAGCTGAGAATTTATACGCTTGTTGTAGTAAGTTTTACAGAACCCCCATGCCATTTCAATAGGATTATACTGGCAATGGTACGGAGGCAATCCAAGCACTTCATGCCCATTCTCTTTCAAAAATTCGTCAGTCCCGTAACGTTTGTTATTGCCTTTCCTAAAAGGTTCAATTAAACTCCAAAGATAATTTTTGGTAATTTTGCCCTCAATTTTGACATTGTGTTTAATCAACCAATCCTGCATCTGATCCTGTTTCCAATTACGTGAGGGTAATTTTTCCAACTGCACCAAATGATACGGTGCGTTGTCCAACATCACCAGTGGCGTATTTACGGGAGCGGTCCTCCGGTCCGGACCCCCCCCCCTCCAGGAGCTAGTTCCTAAAGCATCACATATATAGTGCTTTTGAAACTAAAAGAAAATTTAATTACCCCAATATGGCAATATCAATTACCAAAGCTTATTCATTACCAGATTTTAATAGCGTTCAGTCTAGCAGTTTCACATTCTAATCCTGGATCCATTACGAGGGGAAGTTATTAATGAGAATTACATCACCTTGAATTTTGTTCAAAGCAGGAAGTAATTGATTAGCCACCCAATTTTGAAAAATCTCCCCGTTCATAGTTTTGTGATAATCCCTATCGTTACTATTTGAAATTTGTGATTACACCTTTCCAAAAATCCAAAACGAGACCCCGCAAGAAAAACAGTAAAACGCTTCCCTTCTGATTTAATTTTAGACGGATTACTTTTAATTTCAGAATCGTGTACCCATTTTCCCTTTGAAAGGACTCAATTTCAAAATAAAACCTTGCCGCGCTTCCGTGTATCAGTTCGTCATATTTAATGGTAACGGAAATAACCTAATAAATTATAGCAGCAAATCAAACAATTTTGAAAAATTTGTAAAATAGTTGTCTATTACGGCGTTGCTACATTTTTGACTTGTCTATAGGCGTTTGTAACTTTCGTATTCACTTCACTCACAACAGTTATTTACATAAAAGTCAGGAAAATGACACACTACTTTAATTTCCGAGACAGGTAATGATGACATTTTACTGACGAGTTTTGTATGAAATTTTACCCGAAATCGTATTTTAGTATATTTCAATTTGTATATAAAACCTTTGTCAATCTGTCAGTGATGACAGGAGTCATTATAGACATTTAGCAATGTCAAAAATGCGGCCGGTAGGGTGACGATGATGCCGGAAAGTGATAGCTGCGGCCAGTAAAGTGACAAGCGGCAGGAAACGTAGTCTTTTCTGCCTCTGTCATGGAAACTCAAATTTCCTGACAGAAAGTAGGCATGAAAATGAAGGTTTCAGAACGATTTTGGGTAAAGGTATTTGAAACTGGAACTGTAACGAAAATCGTTTATGATGATTGACATCTTATTGACAGACGGATATCAATTTGTTAATTTGCATGACTTATGTTGATGACGTAGGTAATTTTTTTGTCTGATCGATTCAAATGCAATGAAGAGAGAATCACATTTATGACGTCATTGTCAGCACAAATATGAAGCTTTATCTTTCAAATATGCTTTTTATATACCATATATAATTACTCTCTTGACCTGTATTTATTACCTAAGTACATGCATTAATAATTGCGCGTTACCTCAATACAGAATGTTCTAAAATAAATTGTAGCTTCGGTCGTATCCGCCACAACGGAAATTTACTACTACGTAAATCACTTTTAATATTACGTTGCAAACATTTCATTATTTTTCCATTGTTGATCCCTAAATTTCGTTCCTGCTCGTCACAGCAACAGTATTTGGACAAGATTGATTTCGATGCTGATATACCTAAATTTTGCATCTTGAAAGTAATCCAGGCAATTTATCATATATGTTAACGTCCTTATTGTATCACTCAGAAAATGGAGATTTGCTAAAGAAATTTCCTCTCATATAAGATATATGAGGTGATAGAAATCTGTTTATTATTCATCGATATTCAACCAACCCTTGCGTGGAATCTTTTGGGTTGGTTCTCTACGTCAGTGTCAAAGGGCGACATTATAAACTATGCATACCAAGTCAAAGATATTGCTAACACATTTACTTACAAAAATACTCATCATGTGGTGAAGTTGTGAGTATAATCTGTGTGATTAATGAAGCTATATATTTAGGTATCATCTTCTACAATTCAGTATAGGAGGAGGAGATTTAGAATACTTCCGATGGTGACGAATATGATGAAAGACAGGAACTAGTGTAGGTATTAGAGAAGGGCACAAGTGACAATGTCCATATAAGGCAATAGATTTCGAGACTACCTTGTCGTAGGTCTTGGTGCTGTTATTATGAGTGTCGTTTATTGTCTGCAACACCTTCGAATAATCCAGATAATTAGTACAGGCATTGTTTAAACACTTTATTTAAACAATGGTACAAGCAATAAGGGTCTTAGGGTAGAACAAATTAGAAACAAACGAATTGTTTTTTTAATGTGTAGAGAACATCTTTTTTATTAACATACTATAAGAGTCCTATTCGATCCCACTATGGCAAACATAAAAAAATGTCCACCATCTTATTTTAATTTTTAGACAATTTAAGTTCGTAGCATAGTAGAAAATTGTATTTCCTCTACGGTTCGTAGTTACATTTACAACAAATAGTCTGTTATTTATTCATCTTCCATGTCTAAAACAATGTGCACTACCTGTTGGTCTCGAGAAAACTCACTTCTTATACTCATCCAAGTAATCTACAACGAAAATATTAGTATCAACATGTCCTGTGGTATTATGGGGAGAAAAATTATTGGACCGGTTTTTATGAGGGTACACTTAATGAGAAAAGATACCTCAATTTAATAACAGACGTTAGAGGACTTACTGATATTAGTCGAAGAGTTTTGTACTTCCAACGAGATGGGGCCCCACCGCATAACTTTCACAAAATTGCTGAAGATATCGGTGAATAGGCCTATGTTTGATGGCCGTCTCGTTCACCAATTTAACCCATCTGGATTTCTTTGTATGTGGCTGTGTAACAATAGTTATTTAAGCTACAATGAATGTTAGTAGCGTATTAAGGTTCGAGAAGTTTATAATATTGGATCCGTGAAGTTAGCAGAACATTGACGGCACAAATGTCGAGACTAGGTGGATAGGTTAGTGCTACGTTTGTGCCGGTTTGTGCCGTAAAAAGTTTGCCAGCAAAACATACCGTTTGGAATTATTTCGATTTTTAGATGTTCTGCTAATAGGCCAGTCATTGAGGATTTTTACCTGGAAATAACTCGGGAAGTACCTACTGAAATTTTGTATGCTTGAGTGCGTAGAACTAAAATTCGTAAAATGCACAATTCGAAACTTGACGCCGGGGCCGCCATCTTGCGAAGATGGCCGTCAAAAGCGGTTTTCCGCCGATATCTCCGAAACTGTTCATTTTACGAGAAAATATGTGGTGAGAAAAATTAAAGAGACGAAAATTTCCTACAAAAAATGTAGTTAGCATATTTTCAATATAGTTAGCCCTTACGCAGAAAATCAGAAATTTTTAATAACCAGTGGCGTATATTTTATCCAAATAATTTTTTTTTATTTAGGCATCGACAACCAAGGTCATTAGCCATCACCCCTTATTACTTGGTGTTCAAAGTTGGTCCTTTAATCCCGATCGCTTTAAGAACTCTAGGGCTTTATGTATTTCCTTTGTCATCAGATCCCTCATATTCTCTCCCACAATGAAACTGCCTTTGTTGAACGAACAATGGGCACTCAGTAAGAATATGGTTCAATGTTAGTCTTGTGTTGCAGTTTTCACATTGCGGTCGTCTTTGTCCCGTTAGGAGATAGGAGTGAGTGATGTTCGTGTGTCCTATTCTTAATCGGCAGATGGTTACCTGGTCTCTCCTAGAGGTGACTGGGTATTGCCACCGTCGGACGGTGGCTTTTACCATTTTTAGCGACGTGTCGGTTGAATCCCATTCGTTTTGCCAAATTTGGTGTCCAATTGCTCTTGCTGTGGATTCTAGATCTTCCAGGATTGGTGGTACTATATGATCCGCTTCCGTTGCGCAGTTTGCTTTATTGGATTCCTTAGGCGCCCATACAAACTCGACACTTCTTCCGAGGGATTGTAGGTAAGTAACCGAATCAAAAATTTTATCCAGTATTACACACTGAGAGAAAAATCTGTTAGCAGTAATAAAAAAAATTTAATACTATATGTGACTATACAACTTGTTATTCACGATAATTAAATAGAGTTTTCTGTACCTGTTTGATTACAGTCAAATTTTAATTTTATTTGTAATTACATCAATTACCGTAGGTATTTGAAAACCTGGCAACAGACATAAACTTTCTTTAGAGACAATTAAAGGCATTTATTATGAATAATAAACAGTTTAATTAGAATAAGTGTACGTTAAATAACCTTAAATAGTACACTAAATTGTTGTAAGTATATAATATATTTAGGAAGATTTAACCGCAAAATAACTGTGGGTAGCAAAGCGAGGTGTTGTAGAAACGTAGTTAAATTAGAATGGTTTTTCATTGACTTACTACAGTACATCTTGTTTAATTGTGTTAAAAATCTATTCCTTAACTTAAGGGCAATTGGAATTAGTAATAACGTAATTCACAATGGTATTTATTAGACAAAAATGAAAAACGTACATATTACACTTAAAAACAACAACAATCCTATACCTATCTAACAATAAAAAATGAAAATCAAATGAAAATGCCACTTAGGATACAATTAATAAATTGTGATGTAATATTCATTATTTACAATGATGTACTGATTGACATAAACAATATCTGAAAGCATAATATACTCGGTCGTGTCTGTACGTTACACCTTGAACACATCACGACATAAAATTTGAACAATTTTCATCAGTGAGGGCCAATTGCACCGTCAAAATTAAGTATCCCTTAAAGTTAAGCATAACTTAAATAAAATACCATAGCAACGATTGTCTTAATAATTGTTGCCATAGATTTTAAGTTCGACTTAACTTTAAGCAAGGCTTAATTTTTTTGGTGCAACTGGGTCTCAGTAGCTTAAAAACTTAAAAAATAATTTCGGTAGACAGCAATAGTAGCAAAAATATAACTCTTTCTACTTACCTAAGAAATAGTCGAAATATACATCAAGTCCCCATTTAATAAGTAATGACTTAAATTCGCTCATTTTGGGGTAGGTATGGCGTAAATTTCAGCTCTTGGTACACTAGGTACATATAATAAAACCGAATAAAACTTACACCCGCACAGCACAATGTACCTGCATGCGTATATGAAGAAATTGCTATATACCTACAGCTTTTATGGTCGTCAAAAAACGAACGAAAACGGCTTCTGAAGACGATTGCTACAAGTAGATGTTTACTCGCCATAAATTAGTATTTCATAACGCCAACTAAACTAAACGTTTGTGGCAGTTACAAAAACGTAATTAAACAAGAATATCAAATTCAATGCAACAGTTTTATAACTGCAGCGAAAACGCTATCTGCTGTTATTGTACCTATGAAAATCTACAAGCGTTTAGCAAGTATGTCTAATTGCCCTTATCCACCACTTCTAGAAAATCGATTTTACTTAGCACAGTATATGAGATTATTGTCATAAATTGATAACTAATTGAGGCAAATAAAAAGACATTTATTGTAATTAAAATATTTTCAGGTAGACACTTTGATTATATTATTTCTCTCAGTGCATTATTTTTGATAATGTTCTTCATTTTCGCTAAGGTTTGTAGGGAGTTGGTGAGTATTAAGCCTGACTTTAATGATGTTGAAATGAACAATTCTATTCCCTTCCAGATGGAGATTTTCTCGGCTGTCTGTATTGTGGCGCTATCGTCTAGCTTCCAGCCCATCACACGACCACCTGCTGATACCGTTGCCGTCTTTCGCGCTTGGGTGATGGATCCGTGAGTATATATGATATAGGCATTCGGTCTGTTAAGAATCTTTTCCAGATGATCCGTGAAGAGCTCATAACGACTTTCCAATGTTGCCTTCAACTCTAGGTTTATTTTTATTTCAGGTCTTATCCATGGAGGGTAAGAGCTGGGACTGAAAGCAAATGGAGCTGGTAGCGAAATTTGATACTTTTGTAGCAGCTAAACGGCCTCATTGCCGTGGGCTTTTCCCTAAAAGCATCAAGGTTTATGTTTTCAAAAATGTGCGAGTTCAGGTGATAAGGCATGCTTCTGATTTTATTAAAGTACGTGAGGCTTTGTCTAATCCTGTTTATGTGGAGTGGCTCTACTCCCGATTCGCAATTTACGGCTGTTTCCGGGCTAGTTCCGAAAGCTCCCGTTGCCAAACGTAGGGCGGTAAGCTGAACTCGGTCAAGTAACTTTAATTTCCCTGGTCTAGCCGAGTAGTAGATAATGCTACCATAAGTTATTTTGGAGAGAATTAGAGATTTATAAACTGTGATTAGTGTCTCCCTATTGGCTCCCCAACGGATGTTACAGATGCATCGCATAATGTTTAAGGACTTTTGGCATCTGCTGATGGTATACTTTATATGGGCGTCCCATCTTATCTTAGTTGTTCTCGAAGACCATTCCTAGTATTTGCGCTTGGTTTTTTTACCGGGATTGGTTGATGGTTCAGAGTTAGAGCCGGGTGTTGGTGGGGCGTTCTTAAGCGGCAAAAGTGGACACATTGTGTTTTGGCAGCTGAAAACTGAAAACCTCTGTTGTTCAGGAGTGTTAAGATTCTGTCTATCTCACCCTGCAGCTCAGTCTCTATGACCTTTATGCAGCGGTGGCGTAACCAGATGGTGAGGTCGTCGACATATAGGACTAAATCTGCGATTTCAGAGTTTGCCACGGCGTTGATGGCGATTCCAAAGAGGTTCACGCTAAGGACAGAGCCTTGTGGTATTCCGTTTTCGAGTGACCGCACCCGAGACAAGTGTGTACCGTTTCTAACTCTAAAGGTTCTGTTCGTTAGAAAGCTAGCTATGATTATTGGTAGGTTGCCTCGTAGTCCCCATTCGTGAAGCTGCTTCATAATACCGAACCTCCAATACATATCGTACGCCTTCTCCAGGTCGAAGGCGATGGCCACTAAGTGTTCCCTGTTCACAAACGCTTGCAATATAGAGTTCTCCAGATAGACGAGAGCATCTAGCGTGAAGTGCCTTGACCTGAAACCGGCCTGTTGTTTGGGAAGTCTTTCCTCCTTTTCTAGGATCCAAACAAGGCGAAGATTAACCATTCTCTCGAATACTTTGCTCAAGCAGCATGTTAAGGATATTGGTCTGTAGTTGCTTGGTTCAACAGTGAGCAGTGTCTTTTCCTGGTTTTGGTACAGGGATCACGATAGCGTTTTTCCATTTAGATGGGAAACCACCTTGTAAGAATATTAAATTATACAAGTTTAGAAAATATTCTTGCGCAGCCTCAGGTAAGTATTTTATCATAGAATAAGTAATTTCATCTACGCCTGGAGATGTTTCTTTGCTAGTGCTTAAGGCTTGTTGTAGTTCGAAGATTGTGAAAGGAAAATTATATTGAAAGGATTCTATTGTATCAAAATCAAGTGCATTCGCCTCGTACTTATGTATCATTATAATTACTTAATCTAAAGATTACTTAAACATTCATACTGAAATTAGGACGATTATCTACAAATAGGTAATACCTAATTAAATATACTACTGTGCGATCAAAAAAGAGTTGCTGTCGAGTCACCTTTGGAACTTTTGTTTACATGGGAAATCGTATTTAACTTCCAAAGGCGACTCGACAGCAACTCATTTTTGATCGCCCGTTACAACTTAACACAGAACAGTAATATTTTAGAGGTTATGTTTTTAAAAATAACATGTCGTTCCGCCTCGTATTTAATTACTCAATGGTTCCGCCCACTCGTTGTGCCGTTGCCAACATAAGTACACCCAACGTAAATTACAGTAAAGTAACATAACCCTACATTTCACCACTTTAAAAGCCTTTTATTGTTCTCTTGGTAAGTTGTTGTTTTTGAGTTATCCCCTTTTACCTTTTTGCCACAGATATTGTAGGATTGTACAATGTGCACTGTGTGATTTTACATTCAATTATAAATCCAGTTTCAAAACCCACTTGTTGAAGCAGAAAACTTACAGACGAGACATAAAATGTGCCTATAGCATAATTATGCACTT